GAGAAGGTCTGTCTGCAGACATGCACTCTCAGCCTGACATGCACCACCATCCTGTTGATGACGTCAATGCTGCTCTGCCACCACAGTGTTTTTGTCGGTTTTATGAGGAAAAACAGTGAAACACGTACTGCTGGGCAACAAGAGCTACACTGAATGTATATTAATGTTGCCTTACTGATAATAAGGTAATTAAATATGGAAACTTACAAAATAAAACCGACGATAAGACACGAATGTTGGGTTTATTCGCAGAAAAAACAAAAAAGGCTACTGAAACTCGTGAAAGCCAGGCTGAGGACGATCAGAATCGGTTATTAAAAACTGTAATACTGATTAAAATAGACCTCATTAAGGATTCTAGGGGGTTGTGACATCATACAGTCATAGTATCGATTACTTTTGCTGTCTTGTCAACGTCGTCCCAACCTCCTAGAAAGTGGTCAGACAACGCTGACATTTCAACGTTGTGACAATGTACAGAGCACCAAGCAGACGACGCTGTGGGCACCAAAACAGTAGTACGCTGTCACAACGTCACTGTGTTTGCAGGGCCGTTAGGAATAAAACCTGATGGTTTTGCTTCCTAACAGGAATTGGCTTGATGGTTGCCATTAGAGGCCATTAGGAAACGATCAAATGTATGTGGAATCAGTCAAAACACCTGATTAAACAACCAGAATCCTTTACACTGTGATATCAACCCATCAGGAACACACAGAAAACCATTAGCGACTACTGAAAACCACCAGGAACCAACAGACACTTTTTATGGTTTCTATGATCTTTTTCAACAGGGAGGTACGTTAAATGTACGTCTCTCGCCGTGTTATGGATGAAAAATGAATTAAGCGACGATGTCGCTAAGAAGCAGCAGCCGAAAGTTACCGTGCCGTTGGGCTGCTTCTGCCACTGTGGCAGAGAGTGCATATGCATATGACATCACTGGGGCTGAGAGTGCATCTGGCTGAGAGTGCAGCCAGACACTATTGTGAAAGTCCTGTGTAAGTCTGAGTCTCATTTCCTTCTGAACTCTCTTTAAGAGCGAAGTCTTTCACATTCGTCATAGTGGACGGTCGGCAGAGGCCACAACTTAACTCTCTGAAAAGATTACACCATGGTCATTATTTACTGACTTTGATCTAAAGTTATAACACAGTACACCTGTTTTGATGACTGATACAGCCCGAGCAGGTCAGCATCGTTCTGTCCACGCGTAATTACGCTCTGAAACTTCAGAATTTAAAATAAAACCAAAAAGTCGCAGTTTGCTGCAGTTTTCAGGGCGAGAGGACTCTTCTCCTTCCTTTCCCTGACAGCCCGTGTCATAAGCGGCAGATCAGTAATGTTTGGCATGTGAGCCAAACACTAAAAATACTCCTTATGGTACCTTTAATTCTTCTTATTACGCCCGTGAGCCCTGCTGTCTTCTCCAGCCCACGATGCCACCGGAGCTTAGCTATTCCAGACCGAGGCTGGGGTTGGCATGGCAACAAGGAGAGCACTAGATCTAATGTGCCCTCTGGATGGCACAAAGATAATATATCACTCTTATTACTGTCCTCCCACGTTGGCATGGATACGATGTGCCAGGCGGATTCGCAATCCACTCCCGGATGGCGTGCCCTGATGCAGACAGTGAGAAATCCTTATTAGCCGCACGTCCTCAGGAGATGGCACTGAGGAAGAGTGCCCGTGTCGGGAGCGCCCGCTGGGGAAGGTGGCAGGGAAGGATACGGCGAGTGATTAACGAGCGATGGTGGGCAAAGGCTCGGCTCTAAAGCGACAGTCTCACGGCCCATCTCCCTGCAGGGCTAATGAGAGACGGTCCCGGTGTCGTTACGGCTGAATCGGGGTGGCGCAAAGATTGGGGGAAAGCATATTGGGTGTAGTACGCTCCCACACGCAGAACTATTTCCTAATCTGTGTGGCACACAAATCACTCTCATTTCTGTGCTCTGGCTATAATGGCTCTGGCTCTGGTTCCAACGACACACCAGGCAGGCGTCTAGGAATATTACAGGGTTTAGGGTTGTCATGCATTTCCACTGGAATTGGAAATTCTGGAATGGAAACACGGCTATGAAAATTAAGCCACACTAATAGAACTGTGTGCTGATGTACAAACAACTGGGGCCACTTCATGTGAGTCGGAGTCTCTGGGATGCGAGTTCGAGTCTCGAGTCATTAGTAGAGAGTTTTAGCTGAGTCTCATTATTAGCTGCAATCTGCACTGAACCTGTCAGATTTGAGACGGCTTCAGATAACATACCAAAACATCATGTAAGTAAGCTATGTGCTAACTAGCAAGCTTGCTATCCAAACTGCATTCTAATATTTGTTTAAAAGTTGTTTGAGAAAAGCGCCAACCCCCAGTTCTGTTACGTCAGCCTAGCATCGCACTGAGTGATGGGGAGAGGCGGGGCCATCCTACCCACCCAGAGAGTGAGGCCAGCTGTGCTCTCTGGGTCTCCCGGCTATGGACGGCTGTAGCGTCACCAGGGATTGAACTCGCGATCTCCTAAAGACGGGACCAACGCTGTAGAGTTTAATTCTCTCCATCAGATTGAGAGTTTTTCAATAATGAAAGGCTTGTTGAAACTGTAACTTGACACCACTGCAAACTGAGGGAGAAAAGCATTATGGTAACAAATGCACATTATTTTGTGTATATTTAATATATTTCAGTTTCAGCATTTTCTTGTATTTTTATTTTTACTTTGTTTACTTTCTGCAGAGTCATTCCCTGAGCCTCACCACAAGCATTTCAATGCATGAATGTTCTGACAATGAAAGAAAAGTTTAAGTGGAGGTAATTTTACTGAGTAAGACAAAAAACAGGCTAAAATACGGTGTGCGTGCGCTGCTGCAACTCTGTAAAACACAAAATCATTTTAAAAGCAGGAGTTTTTAAGATCATGCCTTGCGTTTTTATGTATTAATGTCACACAACAGGCTCAGAAAGTCCAGCTCAACGTTCGCAAATGCGAAAATCAAAATTATACTAATGAAAATAAAAGAGGCCTTGTGCATCTTTTATACAGTGATAGGAAACACGGTAGCTCACGGAAAGCTCAGTTTCTATTCACAACATTCTAAAAACTTAATATTTTGAATCGTTTGTGAATAATATGTCGCCCTCAGGCATTTTAACACAGTACAATCTGGCCCTCTTTAAAAAAAAGCTGGGACACCCCTGGTGTAAGCGATCTGGTCTTCACTGCTGGGATCCTCAACTCAGAAGCGTACAACTGTATTTTGGATGTAAACGTGCAGACGTCTGCAAAGAAACTCCCCAAACGATAATGATCTGAACCACATCAGCCGCTGTTTGAAAGAATACTTTGCCAAAAAGAAAATTAGTCCTTGAATGGTCCGTCGAAAAGAAATGGCACTTGATTTTGTTTCCTAACACAACCAATGACACAAGTGTTCAAATACTTTTTGGAGCCACTTCTATGTAATTTTGACATCAGCGAATATGAAGTGAACAGAGACAGGAACATTAACTCCGGTTGCTGTCAGGTAGACGTGAGTGTGTGAGTGGGTATGAGATTTTATTTCAAACAGCCGCTACGTACGCTCACTCCTGACATGGTAAGTGAAAAGAACTTGTTCGGATGACAACTCCAATATACCTGAATATCTGACGGCTCTCACCTAACTGTGTGAGTGTGTGTTTGAAAGCTGGAAAGGCTGGGTGAGTGTGGGCACATTTATAAATGTACAACGATTCAAAGCAGAGCTCTTAAAATGGATCAGAGGACAGCATGTTTGCAACTTTGTGCGTATAGATGTGAATACACTTTTTTTTGTAAAGCTGACCCCTTTAAAATGATTGATTGGGTGGGAAACACTTCAACTGACTGCTTTCCTCAATGTATTTTTTTCTAAATTCAGTCGATTGCACTTGAGTAATGGGGGTAACGTAGCTAAAAATAAGTTTATACCTACTTTGCTTAGTGAAAACAGAAGCAGGAGACATCCTGAAGCCTGAATTTTCTCCATACTGCCTACAAGAGTCACTGCTCTTACTGAGTCACTGACTGACTGACCGACACCCATTGTTGAAATTATGCATGCACAAGCATTGCTGAGATAAACTGCTGGAGGTACTATACACCTGCTTGAAAGAAGCGAGGTTGTATTAGGGCTAACACACAAATAATGAAAGAAAGCAGAAAACGCTTTCATTTAACCACATAATACAAAACAACCACAAAATCTCATCCTATAACAGGTGCACTATCACAGTGGAGAGTACTGTATGTTCGGTTGAGCTCGGGCTGAGTTGGTTGTGAATTCTTGCCTTGCAGTGTATTTAGCAATGTTTTTCTCCAAGCGCCACTACAAGACCACCAAGTGCACCAAAACACAAACTGGAATAGTATTTTCATTATCGCCCAACTGAATCATCACTATCATGTAACTTAAGAAGGTCAGAAGCTATAAGGCTGGCAATATTAGGATACAGGCTAGCAGCTAGAGAATGAGTCTGTTTTTGTTCATATTTTTTTTACTCTTCATAGAAAACGGTAAATTTGTTTGACTTTATGTATATTTTTGAGTTACCGTGGGCATAAAACATATACCTAGTCAGCTAATTTAGACCTAACTAGGATAGAATCACCAAACAAATCCACAGAAAACACAGATTTCTTTGGCCAACACAGGATGCAAATTGCACAGCATAATGTGACAGAGAACTTCACCCCCCGTTCAGGCAGAAATGCCACTGCTATCAAAATGTAAGGGTATATTTGGACTGTAAACACGTGAAACACAAATGCCACACAAACTCCATGCAGCCGAAGACAGCCCAGCAAAACTAGGCTAGTCTCTTTTTCTTTTCCCCAGTGATCAGGTATAAACTTCTATTACTTAGCAACATTAGCTTCACAGCTCCGGTGGGAAAAAATTACATTTTTACTGAATTATTTCTTTTCAAACTTCCTTAAAACTAAGTGGAAGTGCAGGCGATGAGGCTGTTGGTGTGTATGTACCTCTTTAAAGCAGGGTGAAGGGTTGCGGATCTGCTCCAGCATGGCCCATTTGACAGTGGCTTGCCGGATGTTTCCGTCGTACTCCCTGGAGCTCTGGGTGCCGCTGGGTGTGCCGCGCGAGCGCTCATAACCCGGCTCATTAAAGTACGGCTCGGCCACCAGGATCAGTGACTGCACTGACACCAGCACCTACACACAGAGACAGATTATGTAAATGTCAGTGGATTACAAAACAGAGACAGAGCAAGACAGCAACAGAAAGAAATGAAGTTATATGGGACAGAAAGGGAGTGTGTGTTGGTCATGGAAGAGAAATGAATTCATAATAGTAGAACATTTTCAGTCAAACATGAGTACCTCCTCTAATAAATCTCCTCGTTTTTGGGTCAGTTACATCAAGGTTAATTCAGGAAAATCAATTCAATTCCCTACAACAACAAGAATCTTACTGTATCAGGGGATTCCAGCTGAATGAAACTGATGAGGCTAGCTAAAATCTGCGCTGTCCAAACCCCTCATAGAGAGCAGGGAGCTTGACAGAGTTTAGTAACACTGCTGATAAACAAACAATATTAAACCATTCCTGTGTTTGAACTGGAGATCAGTTTGCCTCTTCCTCTATGACCTTATGGCCATGTTCTGTTCTGTCCAGTGGCCGATTTCCATGTATTGATTTGGCCAGCCGGACACTAACTGGAGCGGTAATCAATGGAGACGTCTCTATGAACTGCTGGCAGAACTACAGGACAAAGCCCATGGGGAGTGGCAGGAGGACGGTAGAACGTATGTACATAAATCAATATATGAGAGAGAGAGAGAGAGAGAGAGAGAGAGAAGGAAGAGGGGTGAGACAGGGACGATCATTGGGTGCTGAGAGAGAGGTAAAGAGGTGTATACATGGTGGTCTGTGCAGTAAGTGGGTAGTAAGTCTTTATGAAAAATGTGTAAATATGGAGAGTTTATTTTTGACATCTTAACCCTTAGAAGTCATCTTTACTGTACGTCTGCTAGAAAATGAATAAATGACAAAAACATCTCAATGTAAAGCAGTTTTCTTTATGTAAAACAAGACTGTATGCATGATAACAAATTCCAAATATGTATTTTTATATCCGACTCACGGACATAAGTCTATCAGTTGAGAGTTTTAAACCAACATGTTTTAAACCACAATTTCTCCCATTGTTTAAATAAGCTACGAGTAAGAAATATGTAATTTCTATAATACAAATTATAAATTATTATACATTTAATTTACATAAATTATATAAATATATATAATATAAATTATATTTATATTTATAATATTTAATGTAAGAAATATGTTACACAAAATTATAACTCGATTTCTTTAACTCTGGTAATAACTGACTTCTAGGGGTTTGATTCCTCAGACGCCCCCTCTTTCTCAATAAACAAAGTGATGCGTGTTGGATTACTGGAAAAGGCACAAAAAGCAGTAAGTCGGGAAGAGAAGAGACGCTGCAGAAGTCCTGCAGAAAAGACGAAGAGACTGACCTGTAAAAAGCTAGAAGTTTGAGGATTCCACTTCTCCTCCGGGCGGCCGTGCCAGGTGTTCAGAATGCTTAAACACACCTGAGAATCACAGATCAGGAGAGTGAAAAAGAGTGAAATAGGTGAAGAACAAGAGCGCAGACACGCCCCCCTTCTTCTAATTCTTCACAGGTTAAAGAAAAAGTTATGTAAAAATTAAAATTCACCATTTTACTGAGGCTAAAGTGGCCAACAAGTACGGCCAAGTAAGCTCACAGCCCACCAATTAACACTGCAAACTGCACACATTAATAAACGTTTCTAATTCACATCTATATAAAATGGATAAACAACGATTAGACAACAGTAGAAGCCAACCTGAGGTCTGATTTTTAAAGTGTTTTAGAAGTGTTACATCAGCCTTGTGACGCCAGTGTTACACTAAAGAAGAAAACGCTGGACACCAGCCAGTCTCACCTTGCCGTCGTTGTAGAGGTTGGGGTTGAAGCGGACGCTGTGGCCGCCTGTGGTCTCCAGGTTGACCAGTGGAGGGGAGTTGGGGTAGTCTTGTGGGAAATACACGTCAAACTCAAAACAGCCGTTGGCATAGGGTGTGTCCGCCGGCCCTGTTATCAACACCTGAGAAAGAGAGCGAGACGGTTACTTCTTAATCTTACTACGAGTCGAACAACCGACATTTTGTGAGGTCGATCCGATTTCTGATTTTCCATGAGCAGAATCTGTAACTTATCAGACCCAAGAGCCCAAAAGACAGTACGAAATTGCTTTACTGAAGCTTAAGAAAAGAATTTCCAACAGAAAATGACAGAGCGAGGCTCTAGGTGAGATACCCAGCGTCAGAATTAGTGCTAGGCGATACTAAGAAAATTCAGTTTCGCAATATGTTCTTAATTTCACACAGTATAAGGTCATATTTAAGTTTAAATGATAACCGTTAATGAAGAGAAAACAGTATTGAAAACATTCAAACCAGACACAAACAGTCAGAAAAGAAACTTCTTTATCGATTTAGTATTTATTTTGAACTGTAAAAACAATATTAAGCGCCCAACATAATAACAAACTTTAATAGGCGTTTGCTATCCAGCATTACCGCTAAACCAACACTGCTGTGCGACAAGAATACTGGAATATCAGTAAAGATGACTTCGTTGCCCAGAACTGCGCAGAGCAATAAATTCTGTTACTTTAAGACTTGTAGCAAAACTTATATCTCTCAATTATCACCTGCACTGAGGGTTGATGATGTGTATAGTCTGTTAGTCAAAATAAAATTATAACCCAAGCTTTCTAATAAAGCTAATTATTAATAAAATGATAGTTCTGCTTCTTTAACAAGATACATAATTACAAACATTCCAAATTCAACTTATTTTATTGACCATCGTATATTTTGGTTTGTCCATCTGAATCTACATGACCAAATCGTAAGGCAAATTATTCAGTAACTGCATGAAATAAATGTATTTTTTTAATTTATTTATTTTTTGTAAAAGCTCCCCTCAAATTAACAAAAAATGTATTTTATGATACACATATTGCTATATGCATACAATTTACCGCTGAAAGGCAAAAATCTTAGACGCTCTTTGTATTTTTTTTATAAAAATAATGTTTACAGAGCAGATCACTGAAGAGACGCCGTCTGTTTATAGTTTATAGCTCAGATTGGTGGAAAAATGGGTCGACTTTCAGTAGAAAAAAAAATGTGAGTTCAGCTTCTTTTATTATAAGGGTTTAAAATGACATCACCCATCTATTTGACTGGAAAGAAGACAGTTACAGCTCTCATACGACCCCCACCTTTAGAATGTAGCTTATGAAATATGAAAGTTATGAAGAATATGACGAAGTGTGTTTTGGAACCACCGGTGGTCTCAAGGAGAGGTTATAAAAACCCCAGCTTGAGGACATACTTAGATCATCTGTTTTTAAATATTGATCTTTTCATTGGGGAGAATCAGCTGATCAATCTCTATGAAATGGATCCTCTCAGTCCATCGTCTCCTATACAAACCTCTCGTACAGCTCAATCACAATTCGGTTCATTTAGCTACCACCTGACTGATATAAGGGACTTTATACGAGAGGGTTAGTGTGCTTACATCCTGCTGTGCTGATGAGGGGGAGGGTGGGACTTTACCCAAACACAGGTATTCAAGCTAATCCATAGCATGCTGTGTTTGTGTGAGAGATTCGGGGCATTAACATCAGCATGTGCCCATCTGCTGAGAGCAGCTGTGCATGTGTGGGTTTGGCTAGATGCTCCAACAGAGGCTCACACTTACACTCCTACAGCCCGAGAACAAGGTACCGCACACAGAAGGACAAAACGAACAGAGCGAGAGAAAGAAAGTGAGAGATAAGAGACAAACAGAGAAGGCTAGGGAGATAGAGAGACAAATAACTAAGTAAAATACAGATAAACGGAGAGAGACGTGAGGAGGACAGACAGAGCCAAGATGTAGACAGAGAGAAAGAGATGGAAAGAGGGGGTGGGGAGAGAGAAACAGAGGCAGAGAAAGAAAGAGAAAGGCAGAGAGAGAATTAGATGGAGATTAAGGAGTGAGTGAGAGAATGAGAAAGAAAGATGGAGAGGGGGAGAGAAAATCGAGAGATGCAAAGAAAGATAAAAGACAAAAACAAAGTAAAACAGCAGATACATAATGTGTGGGGAGAGAGAGAGAGAGAGAGAGAGAGAGAGAGACAGATGGAAAGATACAGAGAGATCGCGATAGAGAGCAAGAGAGCGGGGAGAGGAGAGAGAGAGAGATGGGAAGGGAGAGACAGCAGCAGAGAGCAAGTGGGTGGGAGAGAGATGGAGAAAGAAGAGAAAGAGAGAGAGCAAATGGTTGGGAGACAGACAGAGAGAGAAGAGGGGAGGCAGAGAGAGATATGGCAACGGATAGAGACATATAGAGAAGAGGAAAGAGAGACATAGCAATAGAGAGCAAGAGGGTGGGAAAGAGAGATGGAGAGAGAGAGAGAGAGAGAGAGAGAGAGAGAGAGAGAGAGAGAGATGAGGTGATAGGAAGGCTGTAATGGCATCTAGTGATGCACTAGCTGCACTTAGCTGCAGGCACCCAGACTGCACTCAGGCGGTAAGGTTGTTATGACATGAGCATTCAAACTCAACACTCTTTACCACACACACACACACACACACACACACACACACACACACACACACACACACACACACACCAAAACCCGGTGAATCTGCTTTGCTATTAATGACCATTAAGATTGTATGATGGCATCAAAGTGTGCAGCAGGATGTAATGCATACAAGTAGTTCTGTTGAAATTAATCCCTCCTTTTTCGGGGTGGAAAGAGAGCGAGAACATCCACCGATCAGGCAGAACATTAAGACCACCTCCTTGTTTCTACGCTCGCTCTCCATTTTATCAGCTCCACTTACTATATAGGTGCACTTTGTAGTTCTACAGTTACAGACTGTAGTCCATCTGTTTCTCTGCATACTTTGTTAGCCCCCTTTTACCCTGTTCTTCAGTGGTCAGGACCCCCATGGACCCTCACAGAGCAGGTACTATTCGGGTGGTGGATCATTCTCAGCACTGCAGTAACACTGACGTGGTGGTGGTGTGTTAGTGTGTGTTGTGCTGGTGCGAGTGGATCAGACACAGCAGTGCTGCTGGAGTTTTTAAACACCTCAGTGTCACTGCTGGACTGAGAATAGTCCAATAGTGTCTAATAGAGTGGACAGAGAGTGGACACAGTGTTTAATTGTAATTGTAGAACTACAAAGTGCACCTATATAGTAAGTGGAGCTGATAAAACGGAAAATGAGCGCAGAAACAAGGATGTGGTCATAATGTTATGCCTGATCGGCGTATGTTTTTTAAGCCAAATCAAAACTAATCTTCTCTCTCTAAACAAACATAAGAAATCACCTTAGTAAAAGGTTCAACCACAGATCACAGCTGGGTTCTGATGTTTCAGACTGTTCTTAGTCATATCACTGATATCATCAGCCACATGCCCGGTGTTTCAGATGATGTGTTGGAAATCTTCAATCATCACTCAAACGATTCGGAATTCACACTTATGGTGAACATAATAGCAGGCAGTGTTCAACAATGCATAACCTAAACAAACCGAGCAAAGCAAACACAAATGGTGGCTATTCCTACGAATCAGTTTCTGTAGATGAGTCCAGCGCGATCACTGCAGTGCTGACTTGGGAACAGACGTGCATGGAACAGCCAGTTACACACTCTGACATTTGCAGTGTCAGAAAAAAGCTGGTCACAGATGGGGGTCAAATGCACCCTCAAATGTCAAATATGAAAAGAGGAAATGTGGCATGACAATGTGTGCGGTTGTGGACATTCGTGAGAGCAGGAGACGATGGGGAGACTGGCACAATCCGCTATGTGTATTGACTCTAAAATAATGTTGCTAATAACGCCAAGCAATGTTTGTGCTTGCATAATGATTTTACAGCATTAGAGTACACAGCGAAAGAGGTGGCGTTTGCATGTTTGGTAGGCTGAAAGTGACGAGTAACGAGTCTGGTTTTACTGGGCTAGACAGTCAGGCTGCTTCGTATCATGAGTGTCCTGTAAGAAGTGCGTGGCGTTCTGGGTTTGAACACTGATGAGTGAGTGTCGCAAAAGTAGTCGGCAAAGTGTTTAACTCTAGATGACAAAACTTTGTGTTTGGTAACTCTGAGGCAGAAAAGTTGGGTGTTTGATATCCCTGGGACACATAAATTGAGTGTTTGGTGACCCAGGGGCACAAAAATGAGGCGTTTGGTAACACTGATGAAGGAAAGTGGGTGTTTGGTAACTGGGGCAAAAAAAGTAAAGTATTTGGCAACCCTGGGGCAGAAAAGTGGGGTGTATGATAAGCCTGAGGTAAAAAGGCAAGGTGTTTGATGACCCTGGGGCAAAAAAGAAGGGTGTTTGATATGCCTGAGGTAAAAAAGCGAGGTGTTTGATAACAGTGAGGCAGAAAACAGAGGCATTTGATACCCCTGGGGCAAGAGCGTAGGATGTTTGATAAGCCTGAGGCAAAAAGGCGAGGTGTTCGATAAGCCTGAGGTAAAGAGATGAGGTGTTTGATCATTCTGAGGTAAAAAGGTGAGGCATTTCATAAGCCTGAGGTAAACAGGCAAGGCGTTTGATAACAGTGAGGCAGAAAAGATATATATATATATATATATATATATATATATATATATATATATATATATATATATATATATATATATAAGGTGAACCATGAGGTACTTGGTCCTAAGTGGATGGAGCATGTTGTATAGAATTTGATACTGTGAGGGTGAAGCATGTACGGATGGAGCGAGCCTACCTTCATGATGTCGAGGCGCTCTTCGTCACAGCGGACGAATACGCTGGAGGAGGAGGAGAGGGGCAGTGAGGTGGAGAGAGTGACTGCCTCCTGCGCCAGTCTCCGCGCTCGTGCCGCACTATTCGCGTCGCTCGCGTTCTTCACCTGCGACATGTAGTGGTAGTTCACCTTGAAGACCAGCTTCGCGTCCTCGTCCTCACACACCATCTCGAAGGTGTCTTCATGAGAGAACACACACGAGAGATTTATGTTAGTTAAGCATCATCACTCCAGGTCATACCTGCTCTTACCATGAACAAGGAGAGTCGAGCGCTCACTTCAAAACGTCAAATAAAATTCGGCTCTCTCTTCCCTCTACGCAGTCTCTGCGCTCCTCTCCGACTGCGTCAGTGGGGGTGTTTGCGTTACTACTTGCTCCAGCAAGAGCGTACCAGTGCAAACCTGTTTACATTCATGTCAGTGGAGATTACCTCAGATGTCTGCGGGCCGGCCAAATCGATTCTGGCAGAGCAAAACTCCGCTCATCAATCAGAACGCGGAGAGATGAAGAGTGACAGGACGAATAGCTCTTCTACCTAAAGACAGGCGACGAAGAACCAGTCTCTATCGCTCCATCTCTCTTCTTTCTGTCTGTCTGTCTTGCTTTCTACCCATCTCAGTCTTTCTTCATTCGCTCTCTGCTGGGGGCGTTTTGTGCAGTTAAGGGAAGCAAACTAAAGGTGGCTTGGGGAGAAGGTCCAGTCCACTTACATGGCACGGAGCAAATAAAACATGCTTCAAATGCTGCCACTAGACATACAGTCCCCCTTCTTCGCCTCCTGGTCCTCTTAGTCTTCCAAGCCATCAAGCCACACCCACCCACCCACCCTCCCACCCTTCTCTCTATGTAGTTCCAAGTTTTACATGGGATGTTCTGCACAAAGGCTAAAAAGGTACTATCCAAATTGTTCCCCATTTTGAGACAAATGCAATTTAATAGAAGTATCTTTATCCTCAGTTTTGCTTTTCGCCCTTAATTGCACAATTTCTGGCGGGATATTTTTGAAGTTCGTTCAGCCAGAATCATTCTTATCTCGGGAGTGTCGGAGCAACATTTACACTTGAGTACTCGGCAGCAAAAGCTGTCCTCCTCAAAAAAACCCTGAAAGTCTTATTCCCTGAAAAGGAAAGTGGTTCCTACAGTTAATCTTCGACTTGGTGACCTAGTGCAATTTTTACATCTGAAATTAGATTTACTTTAATTAATAAGATGAGGACGTTTGGTAGAATCTGGCAACCTCCACTAGACTATTTACATGTACTTCAGCAACCCCAGCACCAGACGGATTTCTGAATTATCTAAAGTGGTAGTGCGGCTGGGAGGCTGTGTGGATGCACTTTGTCTGTTACGATTTTTGCATATGAAAAATATTTCCATATTGAAACTGTTGTACAGTGCTGTGAAAAAGTATTTGACACCCAACCGACTACTATTTTTGCTAATTTGTCACATTTAAATGTTTCAGATCATCAAACTAATTTTTAATACAACAGGAATAAACTCAAAATAATTCCATTTATTGAAGATAAAGATTTATTCAAAACCTTTTATCACCCATGTGAAAAAAAATTGCCCCCCTACACCTAATAACTGGTTGTGCCACCCTAGGCTGTAAGAACAGCAATAAAATGTTTGTGATAACTTGCGAGGAGTCTTTTACATCGCTGTGGGGGGATTGTGACCCACTCTTCTTTGCAGAATTGTTTTAATTCGGCTACACTGAAGGGTTTTCAAGCATGAACTACTCAGTTAAGTCTTGCCACAGCATCTCAAAGGGATTCAAGTCAGGACTTTGACTCGGCCACTCCCAAAACCTTAATATTGTTTCTTTTGAGCCATTCAGAGGTGGACTTGCTTATGTGCTTCGAGTCACTGTCCTGCTGCATAAGCCAACAGTGCTTGCGCTTTGGGTCATGAACTGACGCGTAGACATTCTGCTTCAGGATTTTCTCAGAGATCAGAATTCATGGTTACATCAATTATGACAACTTGTCCATGTTCTGTAGAAGCAAAGCAGCCCCAGATCATCACACTACCACCACCATGTTTCACTGTTGGTAAGAAGTTCTTATGGTGGAATGAGGTGTTACCTTTACGCCATATGTACCAGGACCTATGTCTTCCAAAAAGTTCCACCTGTGACTCATGAAAATAGTCCACAAAATATTATCCCAAAGGTCTTGGGGGTCATCTAGTTTTTTTTTTGGCAAATGCGAGACAAGCCTTTGTGCTCTTTCTGGTCAGAGGTCAGAAAGAAGTACAAAAGTGGTTGCCCCTTGCAACTCTCCCATAAATGCCATTTTTGCCCAGTGTTGTTTTACACAGTGGAATCGTGTACATTGACCTTAAGTGCAGCAAGTGAGGCCTGCAGTTCTTTAGATGCTCGTCTGGGTTTGTTTGTGACCTTTTGGATGAGTCATTGATGTGCTTTAGGTAAAATTTTGAGAGGTCAGCCACTCTTACAAAGGTTCACCACTATTTCCAGGTTTTCTCTGTCTGTGGATAGAGGCTCTCAAATTGGTTTACGGGAGTCGCAGAGCCTTAGCAATGGCTTTGTAACTCTTTCTAGACTGCTTTTTTGAGACCATCTAGCCTGCTTCACATTGCCAGACAGGATCTATTTAAGTGATGTTTAGATACAACAGGTCTGGCAGTAATCATTCCTGGGTGTGTCTAGTAAAACTGAACCCAACAGTCAGTTGAATTGGTTGATTTAGTAGCTAAGGGAGCAATTACTTTTTCACATGGGGCCAGGTAGGCCTGAACAGCATTTTTCTTCAATAAACGAAATTATCATTCAAGACAGACTGTGTCCGAGACCACATACGCACACCTATATTGCCTGGTTGTCTACATTTAACCTCTAACTCTCTCAGTACTCACCGAATTGCAGTTTCTTCATGGCCGCAACATACTTCTCCTCTAAAGAGCGCAGGATGGACAATGGTTTGGGCCTCGCCGCAGCCTTCCTCGAGCATTCTGCCAGCTTGCGCTCTGCAAGTGATGGGGAAAAAAGAATCAAAAACTGGTCCTGTGTGTCTAAGCAAGGGCATGGCATTCTGTGTCGTGTGTGAATGTGCACATATACATGTGTGACAGGGCCACAGCTTCACTCCCGTCATCTCCTCGAACCATGAACATAAACGACAACTATTCCCGAAGACAGGCTATGCCATTTTGTAGCTTCAGCAAAAATGACGTGTCCAGCCATTAATCTTTTTCAATGCGAATTCAAAAGAGTAAAAGCGTTTTACAGCGAAAAAAGGTGTCGTATTTAAATAGCCTTTTACGATTTTTTTCTCGCTTTGACAAATGACAGTCACGTCGTTACAAGGCGACTACACAAGTGCGATTCTTATCGAGCCTTGCTGACTAATGATGATGGTGCCTGGCTGAACATCTCCGCTCCAATAAAACACAGCAGAGCAGGGTATTGGAAGGCCGTTATGCCGGCAACACAATTAGGCACCTATATTTAGCGGCTTTATGGCATTTTCAGCTGCTTTCCAATTCAGCGAGAGACACAGGATCCGTAGACGTCCTGATAAAATCCTTGATGCCTTTAATAGGGCCGTAAGTGCATGCTTCAGCCACGAGGATCATTAAAAAAATGAGATATTGATAGCTTCATTTATTCTCACTGCTGTTGTCACACTGGCGTCGGGTATTAATGGTGTTAGAGCATCCGGCTCAATACTAAGTGATGGGCAAGGCTTCTGTCCAGTCAGAGAGAGTGTCAGGCAGTGTTTGGCATATTTCTAAAAGGGAGCACTAATTAAACAGTTTAAACGTATCCGCCCCTCGCCCCTCCAAGGAATGTACTTCTTAGAGCCGTTATCATATGGATTTCCTCATGAGAGGCGACAGCGGCATCAATCAGCTGCAAAACACCTTCCCACCCATCTCAGCGAGAGAAAGAGAGGGTGTGAGCAAGCTTGAGAGACAGAAAGAGCGTGAGAGAAAAATAGAGCGAGCATAAAAGAAAGGGTAAGAAGGACAGAGAAGAAGGAGAAAGAGAGGGTGAAAGTGATAGATGGACCAAAATGGACCAAGACCAAGAAACATAAGCACAGCCAGACGGATGGAGACGGGCAGCAGAGAGAGAAATAGTGGGTGCATCCAAGGGTATGAGGGAGAAAGACGAGGCTGTCCTGACGAATGTGGACAAAGAGCACTAACGTCACTTATTTAATAACCGGTCAAAACGGGATCTGAATAGAAATGATTCATTTTTTAGGAGATATTTCTAAAGAGATTAGATTCCAGATAATTCACTTGCATTAAGAAGAGGAAAGTAGATGAAAAAAACAGGAGCTCACCAGAACAGGAGATCAAAACATGATTAAAAAAATGGGACTCCTAACAGCCATGCAAGACCTGATGGACCTTGTGTGTCAAACAAGTCCCAAATAAGGCCTGTGCCACAATTCTATTCGGCATGCAAAATTATTTTAATGTTCACCATGAAGTGCACTACGGTTCCCAGCATGCACTGCAATGTAATGTGTGCTCCCAGCCCCGCTCCAACCACAATTCATGGGACAGGACCACAAAAACAAATCAAAAAGAAAAGACGGCAGGTGTCTAGTTGGAGTGAATGGTCAGTTTAAAAAACCTACTGTACATCGGAGACATTTAAGGAGGTTTCATGTAATTCCAATGTAGTCTAATGTTTTATATAAAAACTCTGTTTTTATTTAAATCATTTTTGAATGATTCAAGTGTTTTTTTTGCCTTTGGAGTTCTGGCATATTTTCAATAAACAACGGCCAGTTGGGGTCATGGCAAAATGTTAAGAAAATAAAAAATAAAACCAGCTGCCCCACGAATATTTTTAATACGGCCCTTTTAGCGCCTGAGTTTGACTCTGCTAGACCGCCAAAACTGTCACTATCAGATAAACAGCAATGAAAGCTTTCAAAGACAAAATTATGCACCACTTTTGCTTCAGATCTAAAAAAATCCACAGTTTCTGTAGACAACACAACGCTACAGGTCTGAAATGATGTGCAGCTGCCAACATCAGTGAATGTGCTTGAGATTACTCTGATTGTGTTACGTAGAAAATGCAACCAGCTTCTATCACTGAACTTTTTTAAGTCTGGAAAAATATCCCTTCAGATTTGGATCCCTTCAGGAATGGAAGCGGTAATAAAAGTGTGGACAAACTAAATACTGAAATAAATATTTATTATATTTCGAGTCTCCTGTGTGATTTTCATTTAAATGTAAGCTGATTTTTTCCCTGATGCAGGGAAAGTAATAACTTGGACAAATGACCATTTGGACTGGAAATTAAATAAATTAAGGCTGGTCCTGATTTTTGTACAGCTTTTAGCTTTGAACTTCATGTTCTCTGCTGTGGTCGATCTAATTGTTTGTTGCTTTTACAGGGAGATTCACTCGAACGAGAATATTCTGTAATAACTCTCTCTAGGACGAAGCAATCTGAACGAAACAACGTGCAATGAGCTCCTCAGTATATGGAGCTTCGAACAAGCCAGGATGTCCCTGCGTCGGAGTGATGAGGTAGGCGCTGGACAGCCGTCGCGACGTTCGCAACTTCCGGGCGCATACCCCCGTACCCCTTCACGCAGTCACTCGACTTCTCATCAGGGTGGTGGTGTACAGTATTGAGCAGCGCGTCTTCAGGGTGCAAACCTATTGGGTCACCGGATCTGACACCACCAGACTTCTCCCTCTGGAGTATGCTCAAAGGAAAGGTCTATTGGAACGAGCCTGGCACTGTGGAAGATTTGAAGCAAAACATCCAACGTGAAATTGCTGCTATTCCCCCTGATATGCTTGCCGATACGTTCAGGAACATGGGGCGCCACGTCGAAATGTATCTGGCAGAAAACGGAGATCACTTCCAGCATCGCATGTGATGCAATCGATTACACATACGTCAAGGTATGTAGCGCATTTTTTTGGTTCAGGTTGCTTCATCCTAACAGGAGTTACAACAGAATATTCGGGGCCTCTTTCGAGTGAATCTCCCCGTATTTACCACCATCAGCTGTTTATTAAGGCTACTTCAACTAACTACGCTAACCTAACGCCTTGAAACTTTCAAGGACATCATACGATACGATATGTTACCTTCTTATGGCAAAGCCAAATGAGTTCTGGATTTAATGAATTCTCCAATACTTATTCACACTGTATCTTAATGAAATCTGACCTTACATGTTATACAATTAACCCAATTTGGCCATAATTTTACAAAAATGTCCCATCTTTAACCTCTGCTGGAGACTTTTTTTGAGAACAGTTGGTGGGGATACAGAGCACATCGCTCACCCTACAGGGGAGACCAGGGGGAGCCTTCTCTGTCTTTAACCCCACAGAGAGTGAAGAATGACACCCTTCTATACCCAATAGCACCTGCCTATGCTGACATCCATCTGAGCAGCCTATAGTGCTATGACAGGTGCTGCTATTGTGTGTACTTTGAGGGACAACCTACATTTGTTAACTGTCACATTGCTGATGGAATCAACAGAGAATGCAGCTGTTAGAATGTAACTCGCACACAGAATGATAAAAAAAATTAGTCCGGCAATGAAAACTCTGCAGGTTACTTCTAAAAAAAATGTGGCCTTTTCATACTGGATCACTATTCTTAGCCTCTTAATAACAATGTGTCGTAAGATCACATGTAAAGTACTGTGTAAAAGTCAGAGACTGCCTTGTTATTATGCCATTTCCAGCCAAAATGGCCTTTCAGTACAAAAAAAAATAAAAAATAATAAAAAAAAAAATTATATATGGTATAAAGAGAGCATCTCAGAGAGGCTGAGCTTCTGCTTGTTTATAGTTATTTATAAAAGGGGGCCAGTTGAAGGTTCATTTATAGTAGGTTTGAAGACATTAGATTTAAGATAATCTTATATACAGATAGAATTCTTGCTAAAGAAAGGAAAAAGTCAAAGGAAAATGGGTGAAAAACAAGAGTTTCCAAAACTAGAGTTCAAAAAAATGTTGAAATAGAGAGGAAACTGTGTCCATCAGCTAAACAGCACTTAACCCTTTCATCCTTAACAGAGAAATTCAAGCTCCACTCTTGCTTTACGTCCTTCCAGTGTGAAAAGACAACACTGTGGGTCTGAAAGGATGTGCAGCTGTCAAGAAGCTGTTGCTGAGAAAAGAAAATCGACAAAAAAAGAACAACATTTACAATTTAAACCAAGAAGCTGCTGGTGTTCTCAGAGCAATGGACTGACCATGACCGTCCAGACCTTAGACATCACTGAATATATATATTAATATATATATATTATATATATAGATATATATATATATATTATATATAAAATATTATCTATATTATATATCTAAAAAACAGTCAATTACACGGGAGTCTGAACAACAAAATATAATTTTTAATTTTTTCAGTATTTTTGTGTCCACTTTTCTCTTTATTACAGCTTCCGTTCTTTTGGGAGACGTGCCTTCAGTTTTTCGAATAAACCTGCAGGGATATTTTTTCCACACCTCCCAAGTTCATCTTAGAATTTGGTTTAATTTTCTGCTTCTCACAAGCCAAATAATAAACACATTCAGTGATGTCTAAGGTCTGGACGGTCGTGGTCAGTCCATTGCTCTGAGAACACCAGCAGCTTCTTGGTTTAAATTGTAAATGTTGTTCTTTTTTGTCCATTTTCTTTTCTCAGCAACAGCTTCTTGACAGCTGCACATCCTTTCAGACCCATAGTGTTGTCTTTTCACACTGGAAGAACGTAAAGCAAGAGTGGAGCTCGAATTTCTCTGTTAAGGATGAAAGGGTTAAGTGCTGTTGAGCTGATGGACAGTTTTCTCTGTATCTTAACATTTTTTTGAACTCTAGTTTTGGAAACTCTTGTTTTTCACCCATTTTCCTTTGACTTTTTCCTTTCTTTAGCAAGAATTTTCTATCTGTATATAAGATTATCTTAAATCTAATGTCTTCAAACCTACTATAAATGAACCTTCAACTGGCCCCCTTTATAAATAACTATAAACAAGCAGAAGCTCAGCCTCTCTGAGATGCTCTTTTTATACCCAATCACATTACTAAACTCTTGCCAATTAAGCTAATTAGTTGTGAGATGTTCCAGGTGTTTTTTAACTAGTGTTGCTGGCATTAAACTCAAAATGGGCATATATTTTTCAAAAAACAAAGTTTCAACATCTGATTTGTTATCTTTCTACTATTTTCAATGATTTAAATGATTTGCACATCACTGCATCCTGTTTTCATTTACATTTACATTACAACAACGTCCCAACTTTTTGAAATCGGGGTTGTAATTATTATTATTCTTTTATTTTTAAAAAAAACTAGCAGTCAATTCAATGTGAAATGTATGGTTCACAAACCAGTCCTTCCGGCCCTTCAGACGCTCCACGGTTTGGTTGTTATACATAAGAACAAAGCACAAATATGGACCATCTGGAGGTCCGAGGACCTGTTTGAACATCTAAAGGGCAGCTGACACTGTTAAACAGCAAAGAAAAAAGAAGTCAAAAATGGAGATGGGAGTCCATATATAGGCTTAACACCAGGCCGCAGAAGACACAAAGCAGTACTCTGTTAGTGCAGACCATCACTCTTTACACAAGGACAAAATGTGGGTCTCTAACTTTAGCCATGCACACACACTTCTGTGATCGACTCCAACTGGCCTGAATAGAGCAGCTCAAGGAAAAACTTCTGTTTGTGAGTTCTTGGATCACCTAGTCTTATCCTTAACCCACTAACCTGATGTAATAGTTCTCTGTGTTTCCACCAACACACTGCCGAGTACGTCAATCAGAGGAATTGCAAGGTCATATCAAATGCGCAGCCATATTTACTAAACTCAGACAGTCAATGGAATTAACTGATGTGGTTTCAACCTTGAATGGTGCTAAACAGCTGAGGCAACAGTAACGATTATGTTCATTCATTCATTCAGATATAAACATGTCGCTGTTGTCGGAAGAAAACCTCGTATCTCCATTTTTGACATTTTTCAGTTTTTGACATTGTGTGTAAATTTCATGATGAATGGACCAAAAGAAACGACCCAAAAAGACTTGGAAAAAAGTCTGGTTCCACTGACTCACATTAAAAGTAAAATAGGTTTTTTCCTTCTCCTGTAAAGTTACCATTCTGGAGATACAAGGTTTTCTTCCGACAACAGCGACACACATAACCCAGTGTTCACTGTAATTGGAGAGAGAAGACTCTGGATATCATGGTGAGACGGTGTACCCTTATGTTACATTTGCAAACACTGCTTTTCAAAGACATCTGATCAGTATTACTAATAAAGGCACAATAATTCCGCTCTGTGTAAGGGTGTGGATGGGTGTCTCACCGTGATTGGCCTGCCGTAGGCTCGTGGTGGCGGCGTACACGATCTCTGCTGTTTTCTGGATGTCCGGCACAAGCAGAGTCAGGCCTTCTGGCTCCGGATCGGATGGCTCAGTCTTCATAACCCCTTTGCTCTTGTCTTTCTTTGACCTTAGGCAAAACAAGGACAAGCACAAAAGATCATCTCAACCGTTACTATTTAAGCGCACTGATTCTGATTCAGCACAAACTCAGATTTTAGGTTGTTTCAGGTAATGAACAATAACACAGTTATTAAACCATACAAAAGATGAAAATAGTGTGCAAAAACACAAAACCCTCAGATATAAAACCCCCAATAGCACACTTTCAGAAAGCTTAGAGTCTTACTCTGATCTCTATCAATGGTAAAGACAATAAATTTTAAAAACAACACTGACTTCAAGGTATTAAAATTAACCTGGAATCAAAATGTACCTTTTTTCAAAATACTTTTGTGAATGGGTGAAGAAACATGATATTAACCAATACTATTAACCATAATCGAGTAATATTTAAGGACTGAAGGAAAAACGGAGGGAAATATTTTTGATTCATGTATAGCTACACTACAATACTGGGGCACAGAGGTTTATTTAAATAAATAAATAAAAACAACAGTTTGATCTTATCATACGACTATAGTAACTGAATTAACCAATCTGCGTGTGTGTGTGTGTATATATATATATATATATATATATATATATATATATATATATATATAAACCCATTCATGCTGAAATTGAAGAAAAACTCCAGTGCTTTTCATTTTAACCTCTTTCCGCCAAATCTGTGGCATCCCTGTAAACAAGGTCTCCCTGTACTTAAGAGAAAGAACAGAAACCCCGCTGACTTGAAACACCCTCATAACAGAAGCTAATGGACAGTTGCTTCAGCTTTCTGCTCTTTTCTAACTACAGAGAAACTGTAAGTGGTAACTGGTCCTGATGCTACAAACGCAGCAGATAAATATTCCTTTAAAGTAACAAAGACAATAAAAACACAGCTGAAGGTGAAGCAGCTTATTCATAACAGTGAAACACGCCAAACAACCAAAGAAAGTGTCCCGGCTTTCAACCTTGAAGGCAGCAAGCAGTGCAATCTCCGTCTGTGCTTTCTTTTATATAGCTGAAGTATACGGAATTTGTGTATGTGGGGCGTATGATTTGTTTTGAGGTGTAACTGGAGTCAGGTTTTTAATCCCTTCTCTGTGTGTAATAAATGCTGTGGGGCTGACTTCATTTTGGGTTGGGAGGTGAGCACTGACAGGGCAGTAACTCAGAGAGAGAAAGGAAGATTAAATTTGTTTCCGTCCACGCGTACCTCCGTCCGTCTGCGCCCTTGAGCCAGACGACTGTCTTAATTAGCTCCTCCGACGTCACCTGCGGACAGTGCAGCTCCAACTTCACCAACTATCCTCTCTTTTCCTCTCCCCTCCTCTCTTTTCTCTCTCTCTCGCTTTATGAAAGATGCATGCGCTGAGATGTGTACAATATAGAGGGGATTTCTAGAGCCTGTGTATGCTTTACCAACCAATTCTCCACCTCCCTGAGGGAGAAGAATCCACGTTTGCGTTAGACATGAAATATTCAATGTTTACTCCTCTTAAACACCTTGTTCTGGGAGGCAGGTTGTGTGTACTGTAGCTGCAGGAGACTCATGCAGGGTTTCTGACAGGTTTTCTTGTTCAGCTGTCGAGCATGTGCGAGGCGGCAGGTTGAACATGATCGTATCGGTTTAGGCAGGACTGTAAAATTACCAGTTCACGTTTAACAAACTTCGATTTAACTTACTGTTGTGCTGGTTTCTCTTTTACAGCTACACAGTGGGTTAGAAACAGTAAAGATACAACAGGCTGCCAATTAGTGTGTTTTAAGTGTGTGCATAATGTGACATTCAGGACAGAAAGCTTAGATTTTTGCCTTACTTTTCTAAAAAGGTCATTTTTTAGTACATTTAATATTTACTTATGTTGTTTTATAGACCTCACTGATGTTTGGCTATTGGTTATTTTTAATATGGAGTAAGATCTTCGAAATGTAAATGGTGGTACAGTTTGAAATTACATATTTACTGTGTACTACTTATGTGAAATTTGGGAATATGTGCTGGGCGATATGACCTCAAATCAATATCCTGATTAACTGAATACCTTGATTACGATTTATGAACGATTATTTTGTTTTTTTATTTACTTCTTTTTTTTTTTTTGCCCTCATAGTTCACTGGCAAGGTTTGTACTGTAAACACTGCATATCTCAATGTAAATTATCTCAACAGCCAGATCGGAATTCACACAGCCTTTACGTCAATCCAACTCAACATTCGTCATAATTTCGGGTTGCTGAGACCTCAAACATTTGGGGTGATATTTCTGTACAAAAATTAGAAGAGACTCATCCAAAACCCTCCGTGTTTGAAGAGATTCTGAAAGAAATGTCCGAACGCGGCCGGAGGAGAACGAGGCTGCAGCGTCAAAGAACAGTTAAAAGTCTGAAAGCAAAGTTTAAAGAATCCGAGGACGTGAACCAAAGAAGTGACCGCGCCCTTTTTGCGGCTCGAACACATTCTGGGTGATGAGCCCAGCTGTCAGTCAGTGAAGCTTCATGATGGCTCCTGTGATGCTGGTGAAGATGAAGCTGAACCTCCGGGAGCGACTGGCGTTCACTGGCCGTCATGATTGTTTACCTCTGGATGAGCCGCGTGACGCTCTGTTCTTTTGCACATGTGGTCAGTTTAGGAGCTGATCTGTTCAGACTGATGTCACATACAGATCACATTTAAAAGATAATGTGAACAGCCAAACAAAAATCGGAATTGGTGAGAAAATCAGATTTGGGCCACTTTTGCCTGCTGTGTGAACACAGCCTTAGCTTCCATGTTGCAGAGCGGACGTGGCGGAGTCACATGACTACACACACATGCGGTAGTACGTTTTTAAGGGGACAGTACATGAACACAGAGTGGGGAAAGGATTAACAGAATTTTAAAAAAATCGAAATAACCGACATGGACAAGATTACATCGGTTAGAGGTTCTGAACTTTTTGATTAATTGCCCAGCCCTACGTTAAATAACCATATTAAAGTGTTTAATTTCATATTACTGCAAAGCACGTACAGTGGCTGTTCCTTCCTTTCAGTTTCAAATGTGCCGTTTCTGCTAAAGCCAGTTTAAAACAGGAAGCATATAACTTCAACTACAGTGTCCTGTAGCTTATCCAACCCTGCAACAGTATGAGATTATGGTCACTTGCTCAGGTGAGAAGGAGAACCAGGTGCGCGCTCACCTGCATCCTGCATGCCTATCAATGAATAACAGGTGAGCACTCACCTGAGGCGGTTGGTGTAAGTGTCCACACACGTCTTCATCTTGGCCAGCAGCATGCCAACCGAGGTCTGGCTCTCAGAGCGCTCGTCCTCCTCCTCTTCCTCACTGGCATCGCCTGAGAGAGGCAGCAGCAGCGGCACCAGGCCTGTGCAAGTGGAGATGGCGCGGAGGAGCTCCAGCAGAGCGCGGTATAGAGGAACATGACGAGCCATGTCCAGTACTGAGAGAGAGAGAGAGAGTGAGAGAGAGAGAGGGACAGAAAGAGATGTCAGATCGTTCCTGCAGCGGAGACATCAAAATTGATGTGTGACACCGTCCACTGACATTTCAGAAAAGAAACTGGTAAGATTTATAAAACCACTTCAGGCCAAAATAAAAAAAAAAAGAGCACGCAAACCACTCTACATACATGCGACCAGCACAGCTAAACTCAGAAGCAGAACCAATCATTCAATTTCACATCAAAGCAGAGCCAACCATGACACTTTACACAACACATTACATTTCACTCGCTCAATAATGAATTCTCCCTTTTTCTATAATGCATGAGACTTATGGGATACGGTTACCACTGGCATGAAGTGGTGGATTCACCACAGAGCCACTAGCCAGGTTAAAGCACAGAGTGACCAGAAGAGAAAAGGAAAGGGTGTTTTCCACACATACACAGCTCCCCTCTGCAAGCCCTAAGTGGACTAGAGAGGTCACAGACTTCTCCTGGAGGCTGTTTGGGCTGTAAGCCAAGAGGCAGAGTGAGTGAGAGAGAGAGAGAGTGAGAGAAAAGGGAGAGTGAGAGAGAAGGAGAGGGAGCAGAAGCGATCAGTAGAGATGCACTGATATAGGAACTGTGGGCTGATGTGAATATCCAATATTTTCATGTACATACAGCACTGAGGAAATTAGATTTAAAGCCCCAGTCTACTCATTTTCATCATTTCCGTCTATTATGTATAGTTTTTGTGATGTTTTACTATGAACTGTCAGAGGAAGAAAGCTGTCGGTCTTGTCTGTTGAGAGATTTTTGTAATTATGTTTTTCTGCCATTTTCTTCTGTTGGATTTGAGCTGGGACTAAATTTGGCGTAGGTTAGTACCAATCAGAGTCAGCAATATGTAAACGTCAGCTACTCGCGTTCCTCTCCCTCGCATACAGTGACTGCTGTCCTGCTGCTCCGAGTCCCAGACAAAACTCCCAGCAAGTAGGTTATTTAAGCTTTTCTAAACTTGTTAACGACGCTTGTTGAAGGTTTATTACACTGTTTGCAGTGTAGCTAGACTCTGCTTTCGTCCTGCGTTAGCCGCTTGTTGCAGGGTCCTATTATAAACGATTAATTTCATTTACGAGAGCTTGATAGTTAGCATGCCTTAACAGCAGGCAAAAAACGAGAGCTATGTTAGCTTAGTATTGCGTTAGTCACCTCCTCAGCTTTACAGTAATAACACATTATAAAACTGATAGTTCCGGTCCTGAAATCTGATTGGCTGAGTTGCGTTCAAAGCCGTTGTAAAATCCACGATATACCACGGCTATGACCGCCACACAGCGACTGAACCCTGTATGACTGTGCCACGGCACGAAAAACCCTTCTGCTGTTAATGGATTAATCTTTGACTCTAATGCTGATCACATGGAGCACAGAGTGTTCTGATGAAGTAAGAACCCGTTTCTGTTTAAACTGAAGGGCTGACGACTTATTTTCTTAAATAAAGGGATTGAACTCGCTGATCTCCTAATGATAGAGCCACTCAGGACCCCCAATCATGTGTATCCAAGTCTATCTAGGGTTTTAATTATGACGAGAACTGCTGAGCAAGACAGATAAATTTAAGTACACAGTGTAAATGGTTCCTGGTGGTTACATACACTCACTGGTCCACCCAACTAGTGTCTACACTTATTGGCCATTTTAAAAGATTCACTAACCATACAGGTGCACTCTGTGGTTCCACAAATCTGTGAATCTATACATCTGTTTTTCTGCATAATTTGTCGGCCCTCCTTTACCCAGCTCATCAATGGTCAGGACCCCCACAGAGCAAGGATTGTTTGGGTGGTGGACCATTCTCAGCACAACAGAGATACTGATATAAGGTAAGCATACCTAAAGAGGCCAGTGAGTGTACATGACTCTATTCCTGATACAGACTGTTCTTAAATGATTCCCTGTGACTTAAAGACGTAGTATGTAAACAGTTGTTAAAGCTTGTTAAAGTTTCAAAATGCACCGTTTACCGGTGCAAACAGCCCATCTCTGCTGCAAAACAGCCCCATTTTGAATTTACTGTTTTCAAGATGTCACAAAAAAACCAACTCCTGTATATCGATCCTCTTACCTGTACAGCTGCACCTATTCACAATGAGTGTTTCAGTGCTGAGTGCTTATTGAGTGCTTATGAGACACAATACTGGACAGCCAATCTGAATAGGGCTCACTCTATTTTGTTAACATAGCACTTTCCTAAGCCGAGGCTCCAAAGTGCTTCACAATAAGAAATCACGACAATAAAATAAAGCACAGTGAGAATCTAAAACAAAATAAAACAGAAAACATCATAAACCTTAAGCGCAACAAAATAACACAATTATGTAAGCTGCCTGTGATCGCGACTCACGAAAGCTAAGGAATAAAGAAGGGTTTTAAGTCAGCTATTAAAAGAGGTTTAGAGACATGAGCAGCAAATGCACAATGTTTTGTGGGCCTACAATTCAAAAACATACTCTGGAGCTTCACCACGTAAAGGCACCAGTAATTTAAATCAACCTTAAATTTCACTGGCAGCCAATGGAGAAAGGCAAGCAATAGGCCAATGTGATCCTCATACAGAGTCTTTGTAAGAAGACGAGCAGCTGCATTCAGGACTAAGTGAAGCCAAGCCAGAGCTGCTTGACTAAAGCAAGGAAATAAGGTATAACAATAATCCAAGTGAGATGACACAAATGCACGTATAATTTAATTCTAAAGCCATAAATGGTCATTTAAAAATTCATTTTGACCACATTTGGTTCATAAAACAACAAACATTAAGTGGACATCTGGGGAAAAAAATAAAATACAGAAATATGAAGAAAAACGTAGGATATAGACATTTTAATGCAAACTGATGCACTAGAAGTTACCCCTTTATACTATACTTCTATACCCATTTATTCTATACACATATAGATTGACATCTTGTACATCTTCTATCCATATCTTGTATAATCCAGAAGATTTCTGTATCAATATTCTATCCCCTCTGAACCTGCATCTCATTTATCTACCTCAGACTCACTAACTGCACATACAGAAATGTGTACAAAAGTACGCACCATAGATTTATTTAGTATCTTATTACTGTACAACTGTACATTGCAATACTAGTGTATGTACACCGATCAGGCATAACATTCTGACCACCTCCTTGTTTCTACGCTCATTGTCCATTTTATCAGCTCCACTTACTATATAGGTGCACTTTGTAGTTCTACAGTTACAGACTGTAGTCCATCTGTTTCTCTGCATACTTTGTTAGCCCCCTTTTACCCTGTTCTTCAGTGGTCAGGACCCCCATGGACCCTCACAGAGCAGGTACTATTTGGGTGGTGGATCATTCTCAGCAACACTGCTGTGTCTAATCCACTCGTACCAGCACAACACACACTAACACAACCACCATCAGTGCTACTGCAGTGCTGAGAATGATCCACCACCCAAATAGAACCTGCTCTGTGAGGGTCCATGGGGGTCCTGACCACTGAAGAACAGGGTAAAAGGGGGCTAACAAAGTATCAGAGAAACAGATGGACTACAGTCTGTAACTGTAGAACTACAAAGTGCACCTATATAGTAAGTGGAGCTGATAAAATGGACAATGAGCGTAGAAACAAGCCTGATCGGTGTACTTAGAGTCGGTGTGTGTATATATATATATATATATATATATATATATATATATATATATATATATATATATATATATATATATATTTTTTTTTCTTATATATATATATTTTTTGTATATTTAAGTACTACAAGGGAGCTACGCACCTTTTCACTCACCTTGGCACCTGTGTAACTGTGATGACAATAAACATGATTTGATTTTAAACAAGCTCAACACTGACTTTCCCTAAATCTATAAAAATATTGTGTTTTCACGTTTATAAAGGAGTATAACACACTAAGGTATTATCAAAGAGAAAAAGAGAACATAAACTGTGGCTGGTGGGCTTAAATGAGTTAAAAAGGACACAAAGGGAACTGACAAGCACACAGTTGGATAAAACCATAATGCAGCCTGCAGTGGACCAGTGAGTACACTTCTTTCACTTGCTCAGCTACAAAAGTGGGGTCAGCGCGGTCAGCTGAATCCCACATGACGACACTTTTCCACCACAAGAAAGGTGTCAATTACAATCGCATAAGAGCAAATTCTGCCTCTGTAGAGGTCCATTTGACCCATAAACCCTCTTTAGACCTGATCCCTCCCTCGGCCTTTCTCTCTCCGCTGGACATCGCTGTGGGAGCGGGCATGAAAAGCTGCTTGACTGTGATGTGTGAGGGCTCTTTGTGTGCTTAAGTGCTTTAGGGGGGTGGGGGGGGGCGGCCGTAATCCATTTGTGACGAGTTCAGGAGCACGAGAGAGAGAGAGAGAACAAACTGTTGTACAGAGAAGAGACAGAAAGAGAGGCTTAACACAGTTTAAGTAAAAAAAATCAAAGAAAACATTAATATAAGAATAAGTGAGAGGCACAGAATGAGCGCAACACAGTGACTGTAAAAGAAAGCATATCGCGAGAGAGAGAGAGAGAGAGGGTGAATAAAAAGCTGAACTGGTGCAGGGTACCTCTGTGTCCACTGTGCTCAGTGTGTGTGCAGGCCACGGGGGACGTTCCTCATGGATAAAAACAGGGGGAGTTACTGAGAACTGAGCAAACAAACCGGAGCGGTCAAACCATACCGGAGCCAAAGTAGCTCAGTCCAGGCCTACAGCAGGTGCCAGTCTGAACAGAGGGGTATCTGATAAAAGCATGTTGTGTATGCATTTGTGTGCAAATGCCTATTTGTGTGCCAGAACATTATTGTGTGCTCGTTTGTAGGGAAGTGAGGACGCTGTGCACTGTGCGTGTTTGTATTGACAACAAGATACAAATTTTAAAATTCATTTTGCTCAAATATTTTTTGTTAATAATGAAAAGAAACAAGACCACAATGCCTGGCGAATCGTTTAACAAAAACAT